CTATTATTTTGCAGCTATTTGAGCCAGTACACTTGAGAACATTTAATCTTTCTTAACTCGAGGTATTTTCAAAACCCCTCTTTACGCCTTGACAGGATTATTGTTTATCTCTTCATCAGACTAAGCAATAATTGACCTCAGATCTGCATACCTCCCCGAGGAGCCTGTAACCATTCCGAAATTTGATAACGCGGTGTTGGTAAGTCTGTCAGTACACAATCAGTTTCTGGGCTCTATGCTTTATGTATTTTTCATTCGTCATTCGTCTTAATGTACCATGATGCTTTGAAAAGTCTTCTCAGAACCTGACTTTGTGCAATTTCTAGCTGGCGAATAGTTGTCTTTGAAGCCTTGCCAACTTCTTTTAGCTACCGCGCAAGCTTTGTTTGAGATATCTACCAGGCTCATTAGTCCGTGGACTGCCATAGTGGAAACTCGTACTCTTACTTAGACATTTGCAAAGAAAGTTTTTGAACACTTCCTCTCTTTATTTCCTGCAGCGGTGGACTTCATAGTGAAAAGTTTTAATTTTATTTAGTCTGCGCATCTGATTTAATTTCAGTGGACTTCTATAATGCAAGGTCTTTATTTTACTTGGCCTCTGCATTTTCAAAAAAAAAATGTATGGAACGTATTTTTTTCATCTTCTTCTCTTTTTCCCTTTCCTTTTTCTTACCTGTAGCTCATGAATTACTGTTTGTATTCTAGTGGACTTTTATAATGGAAAATCTTAATTTAAGTTGGCCTGGGTATTTATGAGGAAAATGTGTAGATGTATCTTGATCTACATCTCTGACTACGTTTAAATAACTTTACATATAGATAAGTAAAACAAGTTAATTAAAACACATATAGAGATTCTTACTAACGGCGTCTATATACCATGCTAAGAGAAAAAGAAATAATTAATTCAAATTTAATAAATCTACATATATAAAAGAAAGATGTGTTATTGTTACACCACTTATAACTCAAGAACGGCTGAACCGATTTAGCTGAAAATTGGCAGGGAGGTAGTTTAAGGCCAGGAGAAGGATATAGGCTGAACCGATTTAGCTGAAAATTGGCAGGGAGGTAGTTTAAGGCCAGGAGAAGGACATAGGATACCTGTTTATCCCGTTCACGACAAAGTAGGTTTTGAAATTATCAAATTTTTGATATAAGAAAATATTTTATTAAAATTTAACAGATAGAAATATAACTTAGTTAATGTGTTTTTAAAAGTTGTATTAGATCAATATAAGTTTGTGTTGCAATAAATATCGTTTTTAATCAATAAAACTACCTGGTTGTTGCAAACTCAACAAAATAAATAATTAACAATTATAATGTATGGTATGGTTGAAAATTTGAGTTTTTAGTTTTTTAATAATGCCACGACCAAGACGATCGAATCTTTCCCGACAAAGCCGTAATGCAAGAAGAATACGAAATACTGCAAATTTAAGGACTGAAGGTCGAGCGAACAACAGAGGTCAACAAATAGATAATTTGCGATGTGTACTAAAATACACAAATAAATTATGAATGATTAATGTAGGTATTTTTTTTTTTTTGTATTTTTTCCAATTAAAAAAAAACTGCTTATTTATTGCCTTTAAGGCGGAACAGAGTTCGCCGGGTCATCTACTAGTAAATAATAAATTTTCAATTCAAAATTTAATAAAGAAGCTTTTGAAATAATTGAATTCATATACTCAACGTAACTTGGTTTGTGATAGACTTTTAATACCGCTCTCGGAACCATAGCAAAAACTTCTATAACATAGAAAAGCACATAAAAAATATTAAAATGATTGCAAAAACTGCGGAAACCATACGCAGTTCAGTTTACATATCAAAAATGTATGTGTGATACCACGCCATGTGGGTCCGCCCTCGCATGGGGCATAATGCGAACGAGCATGCAGCGTGGCAGACAAGATAGCGCGGTTAATACTACGGAGCATATGCAGCACGCTTTTTGGCGTTTAGATTTCGAAAATGCGCTAATGTCGTCCTTACACACAAACTACTCACTTATCTCTTCTGCGATAGATACCGCACCGCCCCAGAACAATGTATGAGCGAACACATTTCATCGTTGGCGAACATAATTTGTTAATATTTATGAAAATTATGAAAATTTGTGGTAAAATATGAAAATGCTATATTTTTCATTCTTATCCTTTGCCTTTGCCTTTGCCTTTGCCTTTCCCTTTGCCTCTGCCTTTTACTCTTTACTTTTATTTGCTTAACTTTAGTTTAAATGAGTTTCCACTGAAAAATTCAACTCCTTTCGTGAGCACATAAACTTTCCTGAAATGATATTTTAATATTTGTGTCAAAAAGTATACAGTCCTAGCATTTCTAGCGATTTTAGCGATTTCAGCGCTAAATTTTAACAGCTAAACTCATGCAGAAAACTCATTTAAAATACTCAACTCAAATCCTCAGTGAAATTGATAAAGTTTTTCTAAACACACATCAGGAACTTCAGAACTTTGTCAAATTTAAATTTTCATCAAATGTTGACAAATTTTTTTCCATATTTATTGTTTAATCTACAAAAGTTGACATATGAAATTGTGCGAAAGGTACTCTTTACTCCTTCCTCTTTACACTTCACTCTTTACTCTTTACACTACAAAGTCACATATTAAATTTATGCTAATTTCCACAAATTTATCGTTATTAAGCCGTAAGGACTTTATTAAAAGTTTTCTGTAAAATCTAATACCTAAAAGTTGAAAGTTTCCTATTCTCTGCTGATGATTATCTATATAGAAATAAACTAAAGTAACGTAACAGGAATTAAAATTGAATAATTAGTATAGACGCCAATGAAATTTGAATCCATATTATTTCAAAAAAAACTCGTGAAAATTTGATGCGGACGAAAGTACAATATATTCAGAGAGGCTTCAATTTTGATAGACATTTAACAATCCTAGTAAAGCGTTAGAACCCTAGTCTTTTATTCGCAACAAAATAAGAATACTTCTTATCAAAGATTCGAGTTCTAAATTGGCAACACTGTTTCTAGTGGCAACCATTCAAACAATTGAGGTTTGATTTCGATTCAGAAGATTTTGTTTTTTTAACCTGAAAAGTTTTGATGTGTTATACAGGCTGGTTGAATTTTTTTTAAATGATAAAAACAGTACAGAACCAACTATTCTTTCATGCAGATCAATCAGACAGAACAGATTAAATACTCAATGAGTGGATAATTTATATATGGATACTGTAAATCAGCCTCCACGATCATTTAATCTCACCGCTATTAAATTATTTTCTGTGAAGGTGTGTAAAATTGCTTGACTAACCACAAAAAAAATCGAAGATGTTGAATCACTTCGAATCCAGCATTTGCAGAATTATTGCCGATATGTAGCCTTAATTGCACAAAAATTGAATGATAGTATAAGTGATACTTGCAATTCTATTGAAATATTAGAAAAAGACTATCATCTTTTTAGTAAAATTTGAGATAAAGCGATAAAGGGAACTATCAACAATTGGAACCTTTATATCTTTTATTGGGTGAAATTCGTAACGTTTTTATTGAGGAACACCTTTTTTTTTGTAATCTATTTATATATGCATATAAGTCTCTTTATCTCTAAACTGTGATATCACAATGAATCCAATTCTCAAACCAAAGTGATCCGATTTTATTTATATAAGCCAAGCTGCCACATGTAACCACTTTATAAATCGAAACTTAAATATTGTATAAAAGAGAGCTAAGTAGTTCATGAACAAACTAGTTCATTCCGATATTAACGAGCTTGTAGAGATTGAACTACCAAATATTAACTATATATGTGACCTGACTTTCTCAACACTTTTTCTGTTAGCTAATTCTGCTCGCTTTTTCTTGATATATTAAATATAGCCCAGACATTGTTATAATAAAATATATAAAACTAAAAGTATATTAAATAAAATGAAATAATGGTTTTTTAATAGATTAGATATTTTTAAAGCGATCTTAAAGTACATTAGTACCAGAAATATCGTTAAAGTATAGAATATGCGATTGAATCAAAGGAATTTCCTTCTGTGCATTCCATTACCTTCAGTGAGCTATTTTTAATAGCAAGTTTTGGATTTTACCGATCTCTCTGTTCATTGGGTACCGGATTTACTAAAAAGGCAAAAACAATTTCGAATACTATAATATTTTAACATTTGAACATAATAATTTAAGTTTATTAGTATTGATGGGACTACGGTTTACTTTTATTTTCCTAAAACAAAGAAAAACGCTTTGTTATGCCATGCAAAACGCTTGATAAGAAATCAGACGATTCAGCCTTTTAATTTCAATTCTCAATCCTCAATTTAATGGTTAGTTTATTCCGTTTAGTTACTGTAAAAGGCTATTTAGCCCCAGTTCCGTGAAACCACTACTAGTACGGGTTCCATACATTCTAGTATCGTTGTAATAAGTGTTTTGAAGTTTTAAAAGACTTCTCTAAAAAATAAATTATTTTTACAATTTCAAAATTGTTATACATTTCCATTCCCCGAACTTTTTGAACAACAGATTTCACCTGCAACCAAAACAGAGAATTTGTTTTCTAAGAAAACTAAACTTACTTTTAACTTAAATATTATATATACTTTTATTTGATTATATAGTGTAACCTAGAGGAGATTACATTGCCTTTGCTAGTCAAGAACAAACACTTGATTAAACATTTCCTCTGACAAGTGCACACACAATATCAAGAGCAACAATAGGAAGCAAAGGGTTTCCGCGTTCAAATGTCACAGCACTTCATCGACTACTCAGCCAAATGGATGGGTTCGATGCTGCTTTGATTGAAGTTTGTTTGCTCAAGTGTGAATATTTATAAAGCGATTAAGCGATTGGTTCGTGTCAATCAATTGGAAAAATTACGAGCAACAACAAGCAAACAGAATAAATAACAATAGAATTATTTTCAGTTTACATTTTCAATAAAAACATTTGTATTTAATATTTATAAATAAATAATTTCAATTTAATATTTACTCTTAGTAACTATTTTAATAGCTAAATGTTGACAAGTTTAATAGCCTTCATATGTGTCATTAGGGTTTTTAGTGGATTTCTCTTCCGATCCGCTTTGACTTTATATATATCTTAAATTTCGGTTTTAAATATTTCGTTCATTTTTTATTTTCGTTAATCTTCAATTTCATTTTTAGGTTCTTCTCCTACTTTGGAGGTCCGATCTTTTGCAGCTAATATATCGTTATCTTTCTCAGTGTTAGCAGTAACATCGGTTGTCTTTTTTACAGCTTTTATCAGTTCATTTAATGAGGAAATCTGCAGGAATAATTTTAAATTAATTTTGATTAATTTTACTTAATTAATTAAATAATTTAAAATTAAAGTATTTTGAACTTATAACTAGTTAACGTAATTTATATTGAGAAAATTTCATTCAATAATTTATTTATAATTTTCTATTCAGCGAATAGTGATTAATATGAAACAGATATCTGTATTCAAGAATTTGACGCCTTTTTAATACGAAAAACCCTAGTAACTTTTTATTACAATGCGTTCTATATTTTAAGGTGAATTTACTGACGGTTCACTATTATTGAGAAACTATGAATTGAAATGTTCACTCAACCGCACTAGACAATGACGTTTAAATTCGTCGACTGTGCAGATTATCTTTTGAATACAAGAAAGCAGAATTGATCAATCACTTTCTATACTTTATCCCAGAATATAAATATATAAATGTTGCGTCTTATATGCTTTAGTGAGTACTTCTTCACTTAACTGTTAGAGATAATTATGGCAAACTTATCAAAACTCCTTAACTTAGCTAAGCGATTAAGAGGCTTCATTAAAGTAGTATATGAGGATATAATGGGAGCATATATTTTTAAAAGCACGCGTTCTCTTAATCTTAACAAATCTTTGCCGCAGTTATGAGGAAAAAACAAAGTAGCTCTTATCAACTTTGTCATTGTCAATGACAAAGCATGTCAATATGTCAAAAATTTGCTTTCTGATTGATCTTAGACAGATTTTTTCTTCGAAGAGCTTTTTAAGTTCATTAGAATAGTTATTAAAGGTTTTCATTGATAAAATATGAATTCATCGACTCATTTATATACTTCACTTCGTGTATATTGGTTTAAAGAACATAGTTCCCAAATAACTTTACTGATATAGGTCATTTTACAAAATAAATAATGCAATCGATATGCCCTTTAGACTTTAGGGTTCCCTATTCGAAGTATAAGAAGCTATTGATAACCATTGATAAAAAGTAACCGACTCTTTACTAGTGAAATACTGTAGACTCCAATGAATAATAAAGTACTCTCGACTTTGAGTTTGACATGCTTTCTAATAAAAGTGTGAATATACACTACTCTTAAACTCTTAAACTTTATCAAGACACTTTTAAAAAATTTTAAAAAATTACTTAAAAGTTACTTATTATAAATATTATAATTACTTATTATAATCTTACTTACCGTCTTTAGCTGTTCTAAGAGTTGATCAACAGCTTCTAAAGCAGAGCCTAATTCTACACTTGCACTATCTGATTCTACATCAACGATGTTTTCAGTTAAGGAACGTGCAACGTCTCTTGTCGTTAGTCCTCCAATCAACTAAAGCAAAAATATTATTAAATATAATAAGAATATAAAGTATTGTTGCTAATAATTCTATTCAAGTTTAACCAACCTTTTTGATTTGATTGAAAAGTGTTTCCACGGTACCAAGCGCTTTACTCAACACTCCATCTAATGTTCCTGTAACTTGATTTAAAGTATTGGTAGCACTACTAGCCACACCAGCCAACACATCGCCAGTCTCGTCGATAGCAGCATTAGCCTCATCCACTGCTCCATTCACAATATTTTCAGAAGCGTTAACCGCACTTTCCACTCCATTACTAGCTCGTCCAGCTGAATTCTCAGCAGGCAATTTTGAGCCATGACCAAGAGCAACTACGACGGCAAAAGTAACAAAAATAAAGTATAATTTCATTTTTATCTCAACTCAGTCTTAAGTATCCTTTCTCAAAGCGTAGTTTGCAGTTAATTGTTTGCAAGTCAATTGCTTTATAATGATTAACTCAAATCATTGCTCTATTTTATAGTAAAGAACACTGATTCAGATATTGTCGGTACCAACCTTCAAGCCATCGAATTTTGTCGCGCCACATCAGTATCGACAATTGTTTAAATAAAACAACAACAAAATTTAATTATTGTTTATTTGTCTAAGAATTTACAAGACCCTGCAAAACTAAGTTTTATTATTTTTTTCTTATTTTATTTTCTGCTGTTTTTTAGAGTAAAGCCTAATCTTAGTTTAAGTATAAAAAAATATACTCATCACTCATCGGTTTAAATAAACAAATACAAAAGTTGTCTATATCTAAGTTTAAGAAATTTTCCATATAAAAAATATGTTTTTTATAAATTCAATTTAAGACTCGAAACAAGTCTTGGAAGCCAATAGATAGATTTCAAAGCATTACACTTTTACCGATTTTTTCTAGATTTGCCTAAACCGAAGCAATTCCATGAAACTCAATAGTTCTGTATAGAATTTCGATGCAATATTTTTATTTAATATTTTTTAAGAGATGTAGTGGATTGACAAAAATTTTTAGTAAAGCAGATACTGAAATCAATATCTTTTGTTTATTTATATTTATTTTTTTTGTAGCCAATTTCTAATTGAATTCATTAAAAAAAGAGTAAACTATAAAGTTATTAAATTACGAGTTGTGCATAAATTTTAATATTCATAATTGACACCCACGAAGAAAGCGTGAGTCATAAGACAACATTGGAAACATTCAGTAACGGATTCGAGAATTTTGTATAATTTATAATAACTCTGAAATATTCTGAAATATGCATAAAAATGTAGCATATAAAAAAATAAATATAAATAACATTAAATAACGTTTAGTATATCTTTTAAGCTGTTTGGGATAACTAGATTTGATGACCTTACTCGTCTTCATCTACCCTTTTTGACTAAAAGTCTTTAGAGTGGATTACTGTAATATATCACATACAAGACAAAAGAAATAGTTGAACGAGAACACTGCAATGCTTATGGCCACTTTTTAAACACAATAATCTTAGCACTAAGAACAGACAAATAATCAGAGCGACACTTCTCCAAGGGTGTGTCACGTATAGCAACTCTACTATCCAGAAGCTACAAGTTGCTCTAAATCAGGCTCTCTGAAGACTCTGTAGAGTGTAATGGTACATCCGCTCGAATGACATACTACGATACCACAGAATAGATTCGATCAAAAAATACATAAGGAGCAGAGCTCTAAAGCTATACGCGAAAACTGACAGGTTGCCCTACATAGCCCTATCCAATCTCAGAGCAGTCACGAGCCGTACGGAGCGGTATTTAGATTTTAGATCAGTCATCGAATAATCAGCGAAGCTTGTGAGAAATACATAAATTAGTCAAAGAGAAGGGAGGGGCTCTGTAGAAACCCCTCAGCTAAGAAGGGATGAAAGTGCCCAGTTACACTAACTCGGAAAAACTTAAGACTGTAAACCTAATAAGACTGTAAGATATACACAGTGTCATAGCAACTATTACAGTAGTAATTAATGCAATTAAATTAGTTTTAATATATTTTTTCAATCTTTGGAAACTGGATTTGTTGACTTTACTCATCTTCATCCAGATGTTTTTAGTCAAACATATTTCAAGTCTATTACTGTAAAATATACACAGAGTCATACCAAATGTTACAGTTGTAATTTATAATATAAAATCAGTTTTAATAAATCCTTTAAACTCTTGAGGGAAACTATATTTGTTGACCTAACTCATCTTTATCTAAGAAGATGAATCTTTTAGACGAATTTTCAAAGTGAAATGCAATCGACTAAACTTTAAGTTTGCCATTACTTTTAAGAGAATCTTTGAAAACACCCGAACTTCAATTAGAATTATGCTATTGTTAAATCCTTACAAACGTTATTATACTCTTCTATGAGAGTACTTTCTCCATACCTCTATTTTCTCTTTGAAAACACCCGAACTTCAATTAGAATTATGCTATTGTTAAATCCTTACAAACATAATTATATTCTTCTGTGAGAGTACTTTCTCCCTACCTCTATATGAACCGATCCACACCCTATGTTTAACTCAACAAAATTAATGGTCAATACCATGTCATAAGGGAGTTTTCTTCTACATACTGAATTTAAAATTCATTTATCTCTTTTCCATTTTGGGGCTCCCAGTAAGTACTAATTTAGAATCCAGCCCTGTAAAAATAATTGAAGGCACACTTAAGTATTAAAAGTTCATGACAGCAAACGATCAAAATTGTTTAGCAAAACACTGGGCAGACGAAAATGATATGCGGTCAATGCTCAATTAAAAGAGGAAAAAAAATGAAAGAACTATAAACAAAAAAAAAAAAGATACATAGTTTGAGATATAAGATAAAAAGAAAATGTGTAATTTTGCAGATGAGTATGAAATGCAATTGTAAAAAAAATTGCTTAGCAGAAAAACTACGAAAATGTAATTCATGTCAGTGAGGCAAAAGCAGCAATTGTTCAAGAGCAAATAAGATGAGAAGAAGAAGCTACGACTTCTACAGAAAAAAAAAAATATATAGAGATTCTTAAATTACAGAGACAATTTAAAGTTCGTTGAAAACGGAAAAAAAAATTAAATAAAAAAAAAATCAGCATCATTTATGTTGATTTGTATCACCGCAGACAACGGATGCTGATGATGATAGATAGAAGTGCGGCAAATAAGACTTTTAAATCATTGATATTGTCATCGAATTGTTTGAAGTCTTTTTTAAAGTGTTTAATTATTTGAAATATTGAACGTATATGGCAAGTATTTCACACCATGATGAGATAAGTGAAGTAGGTTATGATTTTGCCTTCCGTTTTATGATGATTTGATAAAAGAAGATTTCTGAAGAAATTTTTTATTACAACAAATATAAGAGTTTCTTATTTTATGTGCATTTGACTTCTTCCATTTGTTTTGGTGCAGTTAGTTGGCACTTTAACTTCGATTAATTTCAAAATATGTATTTTAACTAAATTGTGCATTGATTGTGTGCGTTATAGAGTAGCAATTTATATACTGTAATATTTAGAATGTGTGATTTCATTTTACTTTATTAAAGGGTCTTGAGCAAAATAAAAGTATTTTTCATGTGTAAAAGTCGTATTGAAATACAATAAGTCGAACGAGTGCTCTTCTGTGTAATATAATAAAATTGCTATTTTCACTTCAAACTGAAAAGCAATAATTTTTGAAGTTTTCTGTCTAAAATTCTGTATTTGACTGAAAAACTAATCCAAGAATTTTTATCATTTTTGACAATATTTTTTTGGTGTAGATTTTATAAAATTTTATTGCAATTTTTGTGGCAACGATTGCAACAAAATTGTTCAATATGTTGCCACGTTAATGCATTTCATATCAAATGGAGATTGCTAATATTTGTGGTGTAAATCAATAATTCGAATGAAGTTGACAAAATCTATATATGATATGATTATTTATTTAGAAAAATATTTATTAAAAAGTTATTTTTAATTCATAAATTTTATTATACAATCAGATTATTTAAAAATAAAAGTTATTCAAGTAACGATGTTATATCTGTATCTTATTTTTATATCTTCTATTTAATCTTTAAACTTTTGATATTTGAATATTTGAACATTTTGTAAAAACTTATGAAATTTGTTAATAGCAACTTTTAAACCAATTGCAAAGATACTTTTAAATAAAATTAAGTTGGAGCTCAAACTTTTTAATATAATAACATTTCGTAATAAATGCTAATAATTACAGAACATTGACCAAAGTTTTTCTATTAAGTCAATATAGAGATTCTGTACTTCAAACTTTGTTGTAAATACTTTTGATGATAAATTAATAAATTCTATAAAATGGAATAACTTTTAAATATTTTTAAAAAGTATAAAAGAATTATATTTATATTAGAAATACATAAATAGTCGTCAATCTCTTAATATTTTTGCAACCATAATTGCATTTTAATGATCAATAAAACCTAGTTGGAAACATAAATAAATATTCTCATTATCTTAAATTTTAATGAAAAATTCAATTTTATGAAAATTTAATTTCATAAAAATGATAGATTGATAGATAACCTAACTAGATTCGCTAGTCTACCAGTAATGAAATAGATACATTAACAGAGCATTGTAACATATGTGAGATAATATTAGGTAAGCCTATGTTAGTTAACATAGCTATCTAACATAATTGGTGTTCAGATATTAAATTATATGGGTAAAAAAAAAATATTTGGGTTTGTTTTTAATTTAATAATAATATTTTCAAATATTCAAAAAAAAAATTATATTATGAAAAAAAAATGAATAATAATTTATTTATAATTTAAGAAAAGTTTTAAGTTTAAGTCGGATAATAATAAAAATAATCTATAAATATCTCTTATATATATATATTTCATATATTATATTATATTAAAGTAGAAGCCAAAGAGAGATTTTAAAGGTACTTCTTAAAGCGCATACCAATATTACTCGATTTCACACCAACCTATTTTATAGAGTTAAAAGCCTTTGTTAAAAAATAGTGTCCATATATATTAAGTTTACATGTAAACTACATATAATGTTGCCTATTTAAATGCTTTGAAAAAAGATTACATATTTAAGCAAAAATCGTGGTTGGCAAAAAATACTGGATGTTGTTTCCACTTAATAATTCTTCTTCTAGAACAATATGTCTATTGAAAGCAAATGGATTAAGCAAACACATGAGAGCATATAAGGGTTAATCTTATCCAAAAGATAAAATACGTCCAATACGTGCAAGTTTATCACCTCAATAATCAGCTTATGAAACACCATATATATATTTTAAACAAAGTCAGTTTACCAGGAATCTAATAGATATTCTTTATTATTATTAACCAAAATATAAAGTACAAAAACATAAAAGAGAATATTAGTTCTATAGCTAATAGTGAAACAAGGTTTTTTGAACATATATTTATTAGCAATGCGCATAGATATTTTCATACATTATATCGGGGA